GCGAGTAACAGGCAAATGGCACAGCCTGCAGGAGTAGGAAGAACAAAGATGCTCAAGTTCTCTCAGGAGAGATCAAGGTTTGAATTCCTGTTCCTACTATTTCCTACCTATGTCATCTCTGAAAAGCTACTTAACCCTACTAGGTTTCAGTTTATCTTTAAAAAGCAGCTAAACCAGGATAATACTGAGACCTAGGTTGGTTTCAGTTCATGGGGAAACTGGCTAGGCTGGAGCTGAAATTAGGTCCATCTGTTGTGTGGATGAGGTCTGTGTTGGGATCCCTCGGTTAGAGGTGTGAGAACATCCAGGAGGGACAGAGAATTACCTAACTCCAGCAACATGGTGTATGAAGGCGAGGACCCCAGGGCCCAGCCAGCCTGAGGTTGCTGTGTTTGGGAGGAAAATAGGAGCTTAGGACCAGTGGAGTGGCTACTAGTCCAGCTGAACTGCCTGAGCTCCCCGATCCTGTGGAGAGTCACTGACAGCCTGAGCAACCTTGCCTGAGACCCCATAGCCGAGTTTGCCACCAAGGGAGGGAATATTTGTCTTCCCCCGTCCAGAGACTGCTGGGCTTTTAAGGGCTGATGCTGGTGGACACAGAGCTAGGTGTGGTGGTACCTCAGTGGTAGAGCTCCAGCCAGAGGGATGGCCAGAGGCAGGGAGCGAGGCAATGCCTAGACAGGTGTGGATGCTGGGAAGACACTTTCTTGAGGCCTCCCAAGATCATCTTGGGAAGGGAGTTCCTGTGCAGGGTCCTGGCTCCAGCCAGTGGCATCCCAGTGTTCATGTGCATACGAGTCCATTTGTGCTCACCTGCCAGTGAGGGTTCAGGATATTTGGGCAATGCCAGGTTTGGAAAGAACTTGCACTGAACCCTTTGAATGGCATCTAGTCCATATTGGATATGTGCTAAATGGGAAATTTACCACATTATCATGGGTTCTGCAGGCTGGGGCGGGTGCATTGTGAGGCCTCCTGGGATCCCGTTGGCTGCACAAGGACTCTGTGTCAGGCATATTGGTAGGAAGGATGACTAGAGCATTGCTTCAAGGCTTATTGCCAGGCCACTAAGTCCTGAGTCAGGTGGCTGAAGCCAGGTCCTGGGGTTAGTGCCAGACTACTGGCATGCAGAGCTCTGTCCTGGGGTCTGGCTGCAGGGCCCAGGAATTCCAGAGCTGGTGTCATATCGCTGGTGCAGGGGAGCTAGTTCCTGACACAGTTGGGTATGGGGTCTGGGGTGTCCTGAAGCTTTTGTTGGCCTGCTAGTGGGCAGGACTGTGTCCCAGCTGTTCCCAGGACAGGGTCTTGCCTGCTGTGCACAATCTGCAGGATTGTGGTTTTCTTGCATTTGGTGTCTGTCCCCTGGTGGGTGAGGCTGTCCAGAGGCTAGTGAAGGCTTCCTGGAGGGCAGGGCCCCTGCCTGCCCACTGGTGGGTGGAGCTGGGTCTTGGCCCTCTGGTGGGCAGTGCCATGTTTGGAGGCACGCCTACAGGCGTCTGTGGGCTCGGGAAGTCTTTAGGCAGCTTGTCTGCTGACTGGCTGGGGCTGTGTCCCAGCCCAGTTAGCTGTTTGGCCTGAAGCATCCCAGCACTGGTACCTACAGGCTGTTGGGTGGGGCTGGCCAGCCCCACCCAACTCATTAGCTCTTGGGGCTCATGAACTAGAGGGAGGATCCCACAATGATGCCTATCAGCACCAGTGTCCAACACTAGAAGGAGCTTCTAAGTGCGGCTTCTACCAGTGTCCATGTCCCCAGGGTGAGCCGCACCCATGCCCTGCCTCTGTAGGACATGCTCTAAGACCAGCAAGTAGGTCTGGCCCAGGCTCCTATCAAATTACTACTTTTGCCCTAGGTCCCAGTGCATTTTATGAGATTTTATGTGTGTCCTTTAAGAGTGAAGTCTCTATTTCCCCCAGTCCTTTGGGACACCCAAAATTAATGGCCCTGCATGCCCTGAAAGCCAAATGCTCTGGGCGCTCAACTTGCTGGTGCAGGACCCCTGGGCTGAAGAGCCCCATGTGGGGCTCAGAACTCTCCTGTGGAGGAACCTCTGCAATATAATTCTCCAGTTTGTGGGCTGCCCACCCAGGAGTATGGGACTTGATTACACTGTGAGTCTGCCCCCCTCCAACCCATCTCATTGTGGTTCCTTCTTTATGTCTTTAGTTGCAGAAGATCTATGCTGGTAGATTCCGATCTTTTTTATCAATGGTTGTTTTGCAAATAGTTGTAATTTAGGGTGCCTGTGAGAGAACACGAACTCAGGGTGTTTCTACTCTGCTATCTCTGTCAATCTCTATACTGCAATCTTGTTTTGAGAATGAAGGCTTGCAAGCTGGCTTCCCTTTGTGATTCTTCCTCCTCCATTTGCCCCTCCCAGCGCTTGGTGGGAGGTTTCCTCACTTGACTACTCTGCCTAAATAAGGAAGATGCATGGCAGCACCCTCAGCTGAGGGACGGTAGACCACTTTCTCTTACTTTTAAAAATATTTTGTAACCACTTCAGCCCTCCTTCCATCCCACCTATCTCTGTAGTATTCCAGTCGTGGCAAGATAATGTTATGCAAGTAGTAATTCTCAAGTTTTTGGTCTTTTCCATCTCCGAACTTTGTGTGTCCAAGAATGGTATGGCTGGGCCCAAACTAGAATTGGCTATTTAGACATGTTCAGGGCATGGTGTTCTAGTGGAGTTTGGTAGGGGTCCTACCTCGGTGGCCTTGGTGCTGCAGCCCTTTCCCTGTTCCTTCCAGAGGTCACGCTTTGCTGCCCCTCCCTTCCCTGGGAGTCAGGCGTTTCCTGCCTTTGCTGTTCCATCTGTGTAGGACACTCTGCATTCATCTTCAGAGGGAGAAATAAATGAATTACTGCCAGTCATGTTTCACATCCCTTGTTCCTTTCTTGGAGGACTTCCTTAAGTGCCCATCTGAAGTATTAGCCTTGTCAGTGTTCGTCATGTTTATTTATTTAAGGTAAGCTGAATGAGAGCATGAAGTTGTCTTTTTTGTTTTATATCCAGTCGAAATAGCACCTGACCCACGATAGGCACTTAATTAGTGTTTCATTAGTGCTTGGGTATCTTTTCATGCTCCTCTCCATTGGAAGTTCCCACCTTAGAAGAGTTTGTTGGAAATATCAAACAATACGAGAAAGGCCATTAGGTACAAAATATTCATGTGTTTATGAATTCATGACCAAATTAAATATGCAATTTTATATAAAAAGAGGCGTGTGTGTGTGCTTTCTCCCCCGTCCTCCCGTCCTCTGGAGCAGTGCTGAGCGGCCCGGGGGCAGGCGCGTGTGTTCCTGCTGTGCGACCGGCTCCATCCTCCTCCCTTTTATGCCTCGGGCTCAAGCTCGCCCCGCATGGGTGTCTCCTGCTCTGACTCTGGATTTCCGGGCGCCAGGTTCCTGGGGGACCTGAATCCACCCCCTCCTCCCTGCCCCTCCCCTGGGGGAGGGACCCCAGCCTGGCCCGGCTTCCCCACAGCCTCCGCAGGTGAGGTCTCTGGGCCACACCTGGGCCTGCTGGGCTCCCTTGAGGTGCAGACCGGCTCTGACAGAGCTGCTGGGAAGGCGGGGGTGGGCCCCTGCTTGCTGGGGTCATTCTGTGACCCCTCACCTGGGGGCCTCCTGCAACTCCTGGGCCACCTTCCCTTTCTCTCCCCGCTGGCCTTTCTGCATCCTCATCAGTGGGCCCAGCGGCTCAGCCCTGCAACCTCTTGGAGCCCCAATTCCCTTGCCATTGGACTTCAGGCCCTAGCTCTCCCACCCACCTAGAGTTCCTGAGAGGCCCCCCGGCCCCTCCTCTGTCCCCCCCCCACAGTGAAGGTGCTGGGGGCAGAGTTGCACCCCCCACCTTGGAGGCTCCCCTTCTGCCCCGCCCACTGCTCCTCAGGCTCGCCCCAAGCTCAGCGGCAGGGAGCTAACCGGCCACTAGAGGGCAGCACACGTCTGCTTTCCCAGCCCGCCACCTGGAGACGGACTTGGAGGGGAGGCAGCCATGGCCTCCAAGTCCGGGGCTCCGACAACAACACGGGGCACAGTCACTCTAGACCCGCTTGACCTGCCACCTCCTGCTCATTCTCTTGACGAGGACTTAATTTCAAATCCCTAGGTCTTGGCACCAAAAAATTGATGCAGAGTTTCCATTGTTTCTGGGTTTGTTCTATCCCAGACCTAAAGCCAGCCTCTTGGTGGTGGAGCCCACCTAGGGCCCTGGGACCAAAAACCAGTTCCTCTTCCTAAAGCATCTTTCTCAGACGAGGTGACTCCTGAGCTCTGAGGCCAGGAGCTCAGTCTCTCTGGCTCCACCTTCATCAGAGGGACTCGTCTTCTAAATCTACAAAGGGTGTGGGGAGTGAAATGCGTATCAGGATTAGAAAATGTGGAGAGGGTCCGTTACGACCCAGCTTTTCCCCAAAGCTACTGTCTTAATCCTCCAGTCCTCCAGTCTTCTCCCACCTCTTCTCTGGACTGACCTTGGCTTCGCTCCTGTTCAATTCCCCCATTTTTTCTCCTTCCCTTTTATCACCAGCCAGCACTGAGTGAGGCCATGCGCTATGATCCTTCATGACAGGGTCTCCTGTTCTCCATGTCAGTGCCTTTCTCCTCACCTTTGACCCCTACCACACCCCATCCCTCCAACACATTCATACATGTTATGGAGTTACCTGATAAAGGTGAGGATAGCCTGATTCTCATGATGGGCGAACGCGTGTCTCCAACGCCACAGCGATGCCTGAGCCCACCCTCCCCACCCTCGAAACCTCATCCCCAGCATGCTGAGGGCATGCAACGTGCTGCCCAGGGTCAACCAGCAGGGCCAGAGCGTCCTCGGTCACAGACGGTGACACTGCTTTCCTGAAAAGCACTGGAGTCAATTCTACCGTCTCAACCATTGTCTCATCCACATGGGGAACCCTGTTTGGCATTATAGAAATGTAAGCCATACAGGGTCTTTTTCTGTTTTTCTTCCTTTGAGGGGATAGAGGCGACAATGTTTTTGTTGGTGGTGATTCTGTTCATTGTTGTTTGGGGTTTTTTGCTAAATTTACCCCAGGAGAAGCCATGCTAACCAGAGGCAGGGGGAGGAGCCCAAAGGAGCATGGGATTGCTGTACCCAGGCCCCCATCACTCCCTTCCTTCTCTCCCCGTTCCAGCTGTTTCCTTTCGTTTCCATCTCCAAATCTGAGCGGTGAAGGAGGGGGGAGAAAGAAGTTTCTCATTGCACCAAGAGGCACTGCTTCTAGGCCTGCAGCTCTGAGCAACCTCTGCCGCCCTTCTCAGGCCTGGATGCCCACAGCCCTGGGAGGGATGATGGCAGAGGGCCAGCCTTCCACTTGCGGCCTCTGGCAGCTGCACCCCAGGGGTGGAAACCTTGAGTTGGGTTCTGAAGGCTTAATTTCTACCCTGACTTCTCCAGTGAGGATTTGAGTAGGTTCCACGTGCAAATGCCCACAAAACATTTGCAACCCTCTAAGTCCACTGATGCAAACACACGATCAACAGAGGTACGACCCTGCCTGCTCACGGCCGCTCACAGGGAGGAGGCTGCCTCCGCAGACCAAGACACACGGCCTCACGGCTGGGAGCGTTTCCCTTTGATTCTAGGGCTCTCCAACCCACAGACCAGAGGCCACAGCCCTCAGCCCTTTCCCCGCTCCCCACCTCCCAGGAGCCGTCTCCTGCCCTGCTGTAGAATCAGGACCTCTCCCCGGGCGCCTGTTCCGACCCACGAGGCACGGCTCCTTCCTCTCTCTGCTGAGCTATGCTGGCTGGTGAGAGCAGCTCCTCCCCGTAGGGTCCCGGTTATGTGAGTCCTTTGTCCCTGGAAGGTGGAGGGGGCGATGCAGAAGAGCAGAGGGGCAAGAACAAGTGGGGGCAACAGCAGCGGGGTCAGAAGAGGGTGGCAGCATCTCAGACCACAGCCGAGGAGGAAGATGGGGAGGACGAGGAGGTGGCTGAAGAGGCCGGCGAGGAAGGGCTGTTCCAGAACAGCCAGCGCCGCTTGGGCTGCCGTCTCAGGTGGAGATAGTCCTCCTTCTGACGCTCCTTCCGGGCCCGCTGGTAGTGGTCTTCCTCCTTCAGGTACCAGACAGGCGGCCACCGGTGCTTCTCAAAATACTCCTGGTTTTCTGGAGCAGAACGCAGTAGGGCTTGACGAGGAGGATGTCAGGAGAAGGGAAACGAGGGACTCCCACCCCTGCCCTGCTGCCACGGGACCCACAGACGGCCTTCGGTCCTGCAAACCACATCCCTTCACAGAGCCCCCTAAAGAGAGTCAGGTGCCCAGGGAGTGGGGCCGACGGTACGTGCCGGGGAAAGGCATTCCCACTTGTGTTATTCTTCAAAGACAGAGGGAAGATCTACACAGGGCTTTAGTGTGTGCTAAGAATAAAATAGGCTGCGGCAAAGGATGAGGCAGAAAGGGCAAGCAAAGCTGTCGGCAAGAAGATGCTTGGCTTGGCTGGGGCGACAGCAGAGGTGGCTGGCAGAGCTGAGGTTTCCAAGGCAAGTGGGGATGGGGGTGTTGCAGGAGGTCAGACAGGAGGGAAGGCTGGACTGAGGGGTTTGGACCTATTCTGGAAGGCCGGGGGAGCACCACGGGAGTTTGGAACCGGGGGAGTGATGCGACCGGAGCTGTGCTTTAGAAAGAAAATGCTAGAAGGGGTGAAGAGGAGAGAATGGGGGTGGGAGAACTGGCAGGGTACAGCGAGAAGCTGCCAGCGGGGAGGGGGTCACAGCAGAGTGGAGGGCGCCCAGCGAAGACCTCAAGACAGAGCGGCAGGAACTCGGGAAGGCCAGCGACACCTCTCCCTGGAGCCCATGCGCTTCCTGTGGGCCCCAGGACCTGAGACATCAATTAAGCAGAGGCCAAGCTGCAGGGATCCCAGAGGATACCCAGACCTGTGCTGCCCAGGCTGTGACTTATGCCCATTCCTAGGTTATGAAATTAATGTCATGGTCATGAGTAGCATTAAAAACAATTGAGATATTTTTCTATATGTGTACTGGGTCACAAGGTAAAATGTACTGCTTACTGTGGAGTCTGATCCAAAAAGGTCTGAAAAATACCAACTCTAGTCTGACTGTACTTATGAGAAACAGAAGCCCAGAGGGGCAAAGTGAGTTGCCCAAGGTCCCCGAGGGAGGCCTGCCCTCCACACCAGCACTTTTCCTGGGCCCCCCTCTGCCTGGCTGGATGCACCTCTGCAGGCTGCTCCCCACCCACAAGGTCAAGTTAGGCCCAAGGGTCTTTGGCAGTCTCCGGGTGCCCTGGGGTCAGGTCAGAGATTTGGACCCAAGCAGATGCACAGGTGCAGCCGGGGTGCTCACCTGGGGACATGGCCTTCATGTCTCGAGGGAACTTGCGACACACGTTGTTGTAGTTGGTGCAGATGTGATGGAGACACCAGTCAGCCAACTGATATGCGCAGTGGAACTGGGAACAGACGGGAGCGCATCTGTGCTGGGACCCCAGGGGCGGGGTCTGCGCACAGACATCTACAGTTGCCTTCAGAGCCAAAGCTTTGGCACAGGTGGGCAAAGGCCCTGAAGTCATGAAGACTCGAGAGGCACCTCGAGAGGCAAGGCCACACAAAACCGTAAGGGAATGATGCTGGATTTGCTCCTTGGCACTGTCACGACCACCACCTCACCTCTGACCTGTCCCCGGCAGCCCCAGAAATCCACATTCCTATGTGGCGGCATCCTGCTGTGTCTGCCCTCCTCAGATATGACCCCCCGTCCTCTCCGCTGTCAGGGACCAAAGCAGCCTGCACTAAGGTGCTGACAACCAGGCTTAGAAAACTGACTTCCCAGGTGTGTCTGCCATGCTTTAACTTCGTAAACTAATCTTTACTGGTAGAATTTCTGGCACCCTGAGGGCCAGTGTGGGAGATTTTGCTTGCCTGTTTGGGAAAATGGAGGTGGGAAGTTCATTTTAGATGGAGAGTCCTCAGTGTGCCTTAAATGACCTCAGCAGGCAGCAACCACGTCTATACATGATTCTGGGCTTCCCTCCCCTGTCCTACAGTTTCCTGAAGTCTCTGTCCCTTCCCCCCATGGCCAGCCTCTCCTCTTGGGGGTAGGGTGTATCCTCTGGCCTGGAGGATGAGATGGGCTCTGCTCACTCAGGGAACCAAGTCTGACAATGGGTTCCCTTCCTACCCACCACCTCCCAGCCCCTCCCCATTCGCTGCCAAATGGGCAGACAGAGCCCAAAGCCGAGAATGTTGGAGAGATTCCTTCCCCTGCCATCCTACCTGAGCCAGTTCCAGGAACACAAGGACGTCCCCATCGATGTCTACCATCATCTGAGTTGCTTCCATCAGCCCGGTCACTGTGTATTGCTCTGTGACACACACACAGCCAGGAACGGGCTGAAGAACCACGGGAGTGGACAGGCACTTGCTTATCCCCCCTGGCAGGGGCCCACTGCAGGGCAAAGGGGTAAGTCCCAACAGGCCAGGAAAGGCCACAGGAGATATAAGTCTGCTGCTACCAGTGAGGAAACTGGGATTAGAGCAAGACTTTCCAGGTGGAGTGGAGGTGGGAAATGAAGGAGATCAGAATCACCTAAAAGGATTTTTCAAGCTACGCATGTATGTTGCACCAAGCAGTTACATAGGTGGGGTGAAAGCCCCCGCCCCCCCAGAGCAGCCACTGAAACTGATGGGAGAGGGTATTAAACCTCAGGTTTGCTGAGAACTATGAATTAGAACTAAGGATTAAACCAAGTTGTTCGTATTGATTTAAATTTTGTAACAAATTGTGTACTAACCTTGCATTTCATGTTAAAACGTTTCTATGGAAGAAGTAAACACTCTTAGTCCTGAATTTTAACTGTATCACTATATACTCATAAAGTATTTTATCTTTAAAAATATATTTCCCAGCTCAGTCCATGGAAAAGACCTAGAAACAAGAGCCATCCCAATAGCAAAAGCATCTCTAATGCACAGATTGCAGCCTTGAAATCCCATTTCCAGCTACAAGAAACCAGGACTTCTTAGAGAAATGGCCGATTCCAAGTCTGGGGCCGGAAATGTACAAGAGGAACCTGGAACATCTTGTCATTCCAGATAATCAGAAAGCTCAGAGACTCTGCAGCCAACTTGAAGAGACTCCTACAGGCTAAGGGAGCAGTAAGGTATTTGAGCTTCCATAAAGCTAATTGCAGTTATTTGAAACCAACTGAGTATGTTCAGATCTGAGAGTTCATAAGCATACTTAATAATAAGAAACTAATTGGTCACTCTCAAAGGATGATAGGAAAACAAATGTATCTTGAAAACTGGTAAATAAAAGAATCAAGCATTCACCTGCCTGTTCTACATGAACTACACCACTGGGTAAATGAACAGTAGGTGTGGGCAAGTTTTTCTCTTTTTAGAAGTATTCCAATAGATAAAGAAAAAAATGACTGAATTGGAATATTACCATTTCACAACACCTAATAAATTAATGGATCCAGGCAATGACATTCAATGGCTGCTAACGTCACAAAAAGAGAGAAAAGCAGACAATCTATGCTTCTTGATGAAAAACGGAAACAATGTATGAAGCAGCCTTACCAAAAGAAAACTGAATGTGAATCCGATCTAGCCTCTAGATCCAGTGGCCAGTTTACAGGAAATATGGTGTACTATAGAAACGCAATCAGTAAAAAAAAAAATCTAGATTTCCTAGATCAGTGCGGTTTTTCCAACAAATTGCAAGGGAAAGTTTTTTTTCATGGACAAGGTACTTATAGATTAAAAAAGAAAAAACTTAAAGGATATATAAAAAATAAAATCATGCTACAGTGTTTAAGGATGCACATTTGGATGATAAAACTATGAGGAAGTGTAAGGAAGTGAGGCCATAAAAAAGAGTATAGGCAGAGTGGTTCCTCCTGGGGACGGGGGAAGGGCCTGTGGCTGGGAGGGACAGGTGAAGGGCTTCTGGTATGGCCAGCAAGGGTCCCTTTGCTTTGTAACGCTTCATTAAGCTGACCATATATTATGTGTATTTGTGTTATATTTAACATTAAAAAAAATTTAAGCTTGGGACTTCCCTGGTGGTGCAGTGGTTAAGACTCCACGCTCCCAATGCAGGGGGCCCGGGTTCAATCCCTGATCAGAGAACTAGATTCCACATGCATGCTGCAGCTAAGAGTTCACATGCCACTGCTAAGCCGCAACTAAGGAGCCGGCAAGCCGCAACTAAGGTGCCCATGTGCCATAACTAAGGAGCCCACCTGTCACAACTAAGACCCAGTGCAACCAAATAAATAATGTTAAAAAAAATTTTAAGCTTGAATTAATAACTTCATAGGAAGCATATATCACTAAACACAAAGCACCACTTATTACACCATACTTGGCATTTTCCACTGATCCTTGACAAGGTACATACACAACACATTTTTAAAATATGTTTCTTGACACGTATGGAGCATTTCACTGGAAAAGTCATTCAGTGTTATTTTCTATAAGCCTTTCCACACAGCAGTGATTAACATTTTTAATCACTACCTTGTGAAAATTACCCATGTGTGCTTAACCAATGGTGTCTATTTGACTTGTTTCTGATCGCCTGCCATGATGAAACAAACTTAAACACCTTTATACGTTTTTTTTCACGTGGGTCATTTCTTTGTAGATAGCCTTTCAAACGTTGAATTACTCGGCCTAATTTGGACAGTTTTCTGTGCTCTGGGAAGGCCACAGCACTTTTTCATGGATGACCATGGATGACATATTGTTGCAGCTCTGATCTTTATTATTTATTTATGTATTTATTTATTTACAGGCCACACTGTGTGGCATGCGGGATCTTAGTTCCCCAACCAGGGATCGAACCCGTGCCCCCCTGTAGTGGAAGTGCGGAGTCCTAACCAACCACTGGTCCGCCAGGGAATTCTGCAGTTGTAAGCTTTAGAAGCCTCTCTCTCGCTCCCTGCCCTGAAGCCCTCGGTGTCCCCTGGACTCCCTCTGCAGAGGGAGTTAAGCTCCTGAATGTTAAGGCTCAGCTCTTAACATTTGGTTCTGATCAACGATTTCTCCCTTCTTCCTGGGATCAAGTCCCACCTTCCAACTCATTTCTCATCATGGGATCACTGCTTCCCTCATAGCTCAGTCCCAGCCTTGATCATCTGCCCAGGGCCCCAGCAGCTCTGACACCGGGTCCTTCCCTGAACCTCAACTCAGTATCTGAGGCCCTGCTCTCTGCCCCCTGACCCGCCCAAGGATACTAACCTCGACATCAACACCAGTACAGGTAGCAACACCGACACCAATGCAATGCAAATGTCGACTCCAACGTCAGCAGGCCCCAGACAACCCTCACCGGGATGGCGCCACCACTCCTCCAGCCCTTGGACCCCGAGCTCCTGCACCTGGGTCTCCCTCCTGCCTCAGTCCCTGCTCCAACCCATCTCTGGGGTTGGTCCATCCTGAAAGCTGAGCTCGAGCTCTCAGGATCTACAAGGAATCAAGGAATTAGGAGCGGCAGGTCCATGTTTGCTGTCTGTTTCTAGAAGAAGAAAGGGAAAGTGAAGGTGGAAGAGAAGGAGGAGGAAGAGGGAAAGGAGACGAAGGAGAAGGAAAAGGAAAGGAAGGAGGAAGGGGAGAGATGCGGAACGTGTTCTTTTCCTTTTGACTTCTTAAGCTTGCATGAGTGCGGCCAAGCTAATGAGAACACCAGGCCCTGGCGTCTGCTGGAGCCCACTTTGCTGGGCCAAGACACCCTCTGGAGAGAGCCTATAAGGTGATCCCACCGAGCGCCCCGCTCACACGTTTCTTTACATCCATGTCCTCACCCAAACCCCAGTATGCACTGACGTATTTCACTTTATGTAAACGTATTCCCTGGGTGCTTGTGGCCTGTCCCCTAGGAGGAGACAGGTGAGAGAAGAAATCATGACTCCTGGGGGGTCCCCGACTCCTCCTCCAGGGAGGCCCCGGAGCTTAGTTACCTGTGAGGGCGACCAAGTGTGGCAGGCAGAGGCGGTTGGCCAGGATGATGAGCTTCATGTCGTCCAGGTCGGGGCTGGAGGTGAACATGCCGGTGTACAGGTATTCCAGCACGGCCCTCATGCAGCTCTTGCTTGTGTAAGGAAACACCACCTGTGGGTGGGAAGGAGTAGAGCAGGCTGCGGTGA